TGATGCTTCACTTGCTACTATGTACTCTGATTCACAAGTAGAATCAACCATTGTCTCCTGTTTGGAACTTTTCCCGGTTACCTCTCCTCCATTAAGGGTAAACACCAATCCAGATTGAGAACAAAAGTTGTCTCTATCTGTCTGAAAGTTGATGTCACTATACCCGGTTACTCTTAAGTTATCACTACCACCAAGCACGTAGACCTAGTCCTTAGTTCTTCACAGATACTTAATAATATTTTTAACTACTATACAGTGAGTTCTACCTGTATTTCCCTGATAACGACTGACCATGCTTAATGAAAAAGCCACATCAGGACGAGTACATGTCGTAGCATACACGATAGATCCAACAACATAAGCATATGGAACTCGACTCATTTCTTCTATCTCTGCATCAGTACTCAGACTCTGAGTCGTACTCAATTTGGTATTACTCTGTATAGGCAGTTCTCTTGGAATTCTCCATACTTAAACCTTTAGTATCTTTTCCAAATACATACTTTGACTAAGTCTAATTGGCCGTTTACTCTTGTCTCTCAAAATCCTTATCCCCAAAATACAAGCAGTCTCTCCTATATCCGTCATAGCGAAACACTTTCCAAGCCAGCACTTAACCTCGTGCAAAGTTGGAATGTTATTTACTATAAGAAGTATATCATCAACATACGAAACCATGAAGGTTACTATAATCTCACTAGCTTTGACATATACACAATATTCATCACCACTTCTAAAGAAACCAAACTCTTTGTCCTTATCGTCAAAGCATAGATTCCATATGCGAGAAGCTTGTTTCAATCCATAGATTGATTTCTAAATCTTACACACTCTATTTGGATACTTTTCATCCACAAAACCCTTTGGCCAACTCATGTAAACATCCTCATCCAACTTCTCATTAAGGAAAGTGGTTTTGACATCCATCTGCCAAATTTCATTATCATGAAATGCAACTATTTCTAGCATTACCCTAATAGATTTTATCTTGGCTACCGGTGAGAGTCTCGTCATAGTCAACCACTGGGGTTTGAGTAAAATCTTTCGTAACTTGTAATGACCCAAAAATAATGTCATAAAATTTCGTTTTTAAATTAATAAATAGTAATACATATTATTTTCATAAAACCAAGGTAATCGAGATTTAGCAAAACATCATTAAATCAGAATAACTCACAGAATGCGGAAACATGTGGTGTGTGCTCTGTAATCATCCCGATCCCTTTCATTTGAAAACCGAAGTATGTGAAACATAAACTGAAAACTGTGAGCACAAAGCTTAGTGAGTTCCCCAAGATAACCACATACCACACAACACGCATACATAAATCATATACTGGGCCCCCGACCTCCATCGGGCCTCACCCAGTCTCGAGTCCTGCCTGACATTGAGCCCCGCCCGGCATCAAGCCCTGATCGGATTACAGATTTGTCAATCACTAAGCCCATTGGGCCTCGCCCGATACACACATAATCATATAAACATATACCTTACTAACACATGCAATATCACAAAGACTATAGCATATCATACCATCATCGAGCCCCGACCGACATCTGGCTTTACCCAGTAAGCATAAAAACATATACTAATAACTAACATACAATATACTCATCAGACCCCGCCTGGCATCGGGCCTCGCCCGTTAAGCATACCATCTCATAATGCATGGAAGATTTACGGAATCATCTAGCACTCTAACATAAAAACCATGGGTCGTCATTGGTGTCTTCGACCCGCTAAACCTAGTGAGGAAACACACCTCGCACTGCCGAAACACACAGACGATCCCTGCTGTTGGCTGATAGATTCCTCGAACTGTCAAAATCAAAACAACACCCAATTATCCATTGGGTTCCAAACCATAACCATAAATCCATTCTCGAGCTAAAAAGACCATTTTACCCCTAACCAAGCTTGGTTCAAGACCAAGGCCCAAACTCATGACCCAGAAGGCCCAAAAGCCAAATAGCCAACCAAGGCCCAAAAATGGCCCAATTTTCAAATTGGACCCAAACCCCTTACATGGGCCTTACCCTAAAGCCAAACCAAAATTCCTAGTCTAAGACACTTATACTCAGATGGCCCATTAAGAACTCAAACACCCAAGCCCAAAAAGGAAACCTAACACGAAGCCCAATATACAAAATCCTTCCTGATTAAGTACGCCACGCGTACTGACCCTGCCCACAACCAACCTAGATAACGTCTTAATCCCTTAAGCCGAGACATCCAAAATTCAGAATATCATAACCTTGGTGACTTAATCCATAAAGTCGAAGGCTTTAAGCATTTGCATGGCTTAAAAAGGTCCAATCATGATTTTAAGCACTCAAACTTCACCAAGTGACCAATAACCCAAGCATGGGAGAACTTAATGCATCAAGAATCCAACTTTATGTCAAATCCAACTCAAAAAAGTCAAGATTCATAATCCTAGGCTCTTTGAGTGTCTCAAACTCATAAAGAGCCTCAAAAGACCATAACATGCATAGTTTAAGCCCTAAAATATATCTTATTGTAAGTCCAAAATCTACTTGTGTATCAATCAAATCCGTTTGATGGTGAAAAATCTCAATCAAACGGATGATGCCAGATCAAAATAGAAGAGAAGAATAAGAAGAACAAGTGAATCTATGATGTTTCAATGAATATAATGATGCTTCATACACATGGTACACACACACACATACTAGTTCTTCTCTCTCTAAAACACCTTGTATTTCACACACTTAAGCTCCTCAGTTCCTTTAATCCGTAAACTCATTTCACACTCCTCACCCTTTACATCTATTTATATGGAGGACATGGTCCGTGAACAGGTTCACGACCGTGAACCAGCTCATGGCCGTAAACACCACCTGGGCCGTGAACCGTTTTCGGTCCTAGATGGAAAATTACAATTGCCTAGAAAAGTAAAGTATAAACCATATTTTTGATCTAACAATCCGCCCCTTGGTTTGTAGCTTTATTTTCTAATTGAACTAACAGACTCCCCCTGAAAAATGTAGCTGACTTTTCTTGTCAATCTTTAATGGGAGCTTGGCTTCAGCTTTAATCTTCAATTTATTCACAGCATCAAGATGAGCATATGAATCTTCTATGAATGACTTCATCTTGAGCAGTTGGGATTTTCTTCTGAACAATACCAACTTTCCACCTGTGAAATTAGGTCAAATATCGATCATGTTTGCTCCAAAACCCCATTCTAGTTCTTTAAATGAAATAAACAGCCCTGGTGCGTTAAAAGTGCTGAACATCATGCCTAGATTTGTAGAGGCTGCTAGTTCTTTAAATGAAATAAAGAGCCCTGTTTTAATGGTGAAAATTAATGCTGAGAGGTAACCGAAAGTAGCTTCGAATCTTGAGATCAAATGGTATCCGTCTTTGCTTCTCTTCGTCAATGACACTTCTCAACATGGTGGATTCATGTAAGATTTCATTTCAATGCTGGGTTTTTGCGATATTTTGGTACCCGTTGCTGTAATTAAGAAATTGTGTTATTAATTAAGGAATAAATTTTGACTTGGGTGAGGAAGAAAGATACACTTCATATGGTATAAGGAGGGAGGAAGAAGAAGAAAAAGACACAAGTGGTGGAAGGGGTGAATCGGGTCATGGGTTTGAAGGAGAAACGATGGGTTATGTGAGGGTTTTCAAAGTCAAAGTCTATATGATAAAGAGGTAACTGGCTGTCCCTTTCAAATATTACAAAATGACCAAATCAACTCGACGAAAAACAGTTTGTTCCCTTAAAAGCTCGAAAAAAACTTTAAGGTCTGAATGGGCAAAGTCAAAATACATAATAAGGCTAATATGCAATGTTTTGAAACCTGAGTTGACCCGGTCGGTTCAACCGGTTGGACCATGACCCGGGGTAGAAGGCGGATCAATTGAGAACGGTTTTTTTGTAAAAATACGGACCAGATCGAACCGGCCGGTTTTCCCCTGAACCGCGATTCGACCGCTTTTGTTGAACCGGTTAAAACCGGGTTGACCCGTTTTAATAGAGTTTGGATAGTTTGATACAAGTAGAGAACACCAAAACAACGAGTCATTTGCGGTTTCTTTAATGTTTTTTAATATTTAAACTTTGTGTACATCAAATTATTGGTTTTATATGTTTATGCATTATGCAGCAAAGTAAAAATTTATAAAAATAGAAAAAGATCATAAACTGGGTTGACCCGGCGGTTCAACCGGTTGAACCGGTTGACCCGTGAACCGGTCGTCACACCGGATCAACTAAAAACCCGGATTTTAAAACATTGCTAATATGTCATTTTCCTTGCATTCTAGCACTAAACTGCAAGAAACTTTTAAACTTAGGGTTATTTTTGCCAATGCTTTAAACTTATTATCAACAATCAAACAAGCCCTATAAGGCTATAACTAAAGTTCCCAATCCAACTCTCCATCAATCTCGCATCACAGGAAGCGAAGGGTTTCAATTCCCAACCTTTTGTCGATCAAATATCACACTTTGAACTCGAAATCGGGATTTTTCTTTCTACTGATATTGGTATGTCCAATCTTGCTATCTCGTGATCTTCATATATAGTATCTCTCGTCTTCTTATTATAATTGCGGTTATCATTGGTTTAATCGTCAGTGGAAAATCAGAGTGTTACGTTCTCAAACTACCAGTTTCTCTTGATTTCGATTATCAATTTGCAATCGTTTAAAGCTAAAGCATGTTTTGAATTGATTTTCAATTTTGAAAAGGTTTTTTTTTTTTTTTTTTTTTTTTTTTTTTTTTTTTTTCTAGATCTAAAACGTATGTATGACCTGTTTATCCACCGAATCGAGTTCTAGGTTTCGTATTTAGAATTCGATCGTTAACATCAGGTTTTGCGTAGTTTACAGATCTCCTTGCTATTTTGTTAAACAATTAAACATCTTCTCTTCACCACATATCACTGCTAGGTTCTGATATACATCTTCAATGGCATCTAATCATCTATCATGAATTTTATGTTATTTTTTTTTATGAAACTAGATGGATAAAGGGAAAGGAGTGATGGGAAGTCGGAAATGGGCAGTTGAATTCACAGACAACTCATCAACACCTTCCTCCCGAGACATTCCAGATCCACCTGGCTTCACACGAGCTACCCATGATCAAGATGATTCCACATTAAGTCGCCAAAAGAAAGATGCAGAAGCAAATTGGAAATCACAAAAAGCATGGGAGGTAGCTCAAGCACCCTTCAAGAACCTTCTTATGATGGGGTTCATGATGTGGATGGCTGGAAGTACAGTCCATTTGTTTAGCATCGGTATAACATTTTCAGCTCTTTGGCAACCATTAAGTGCTCTTCAAGGAGTTGGGAAGGTTTTTGAGCCTTATAAAGATAGCAAAGTGGACCTAAATGCCCCTAAGTTGCTGTTTATTGCTCTTAATTTGGGGGGTATGTTGCTTGGTGTCTGGAAGTTGAACACTTTGGGGCTTCTTCCTACACATGCTTCTGATTGGGTTTCTTCTTTGCCACCTGCACATGAAGTTGAGTATTCTGGTGGAGGTATTGCTTTGTTCTAATAACAACTATTTATCTATCGGATTTTGGATTTTTTTTTTTTTTCTTCTAGTTTTTAATATATAAGAACTGCTTCAGATTTTCTTCTCCTTTTAGTGATTATGCATTTTGATTCAGTTTCTGGTGTGATTCTAGCTTTGAAAGCAGCAATAATTGGCCTATGAATTATTTACACTAATGTACTTTTATGAATACCACAACACCCAATTTGATTTAACACTAATTACTATCATTATCATTTTGTTAGGGTTTTCATATTGACCAAATTCCATAAAAGCCATTGTAGTTTGGAAAGTTTTCGGCTTAACACCCAGATTTTAATATTTTTTTCGAAGATCACTACATAAAACTAAACTTCGAAGTCTATGACAATCCGCTATTGTTTGAAATTTGATCGGTTTAACCACTCGCCATTTTTTTATTAGAAAACCATTGAAACTTTGAATTTACAAAAAAAAAAAAAAAAGGATTTTTTTTTCTTTCTTCTGGTGGTTTTTTGACATTCATTAACAAGAAACCCTTGTAGTAGATTTTTTTTCTACGACAAACTCGCATTGGTTAAATAATTATGATGGTTAAACAAAACTCAGAAAAACTATAGTGCTTTTTATGGATTATGGATTGCAAATGTTGAGGTTTATGGATTATTGTATTTTATTGTTATCACATTTTAATAAATTAATTTTGTGTTAATCTTGAAGTTGTAATTGATGCAATTCTAGTGTTTTCAACTTATGTTCCATAACAACACAATTAAGGATGAATATGATTTGAGTTTATAGTTCTTGATGGAAAAAGATATAAGGTTAGGCTGATTGGTAGAGTTTAAACTTTTAAGATCTAAATTTTTAAGATGTTTGAGTTTTTAAATTTTTAAGATCTAAATTTATAACATACTGTTTGTTGGAATATTTGAATAAATCTGATTTGCTATGTTGAATGATCAAAATAACAATTTTACTATTATGTATAATTTTTGTTTATTTCAATGTTTTTGTTTTAAAAAATAAGTGAACAAACTCTTTGAATAATTATAAAAAAAATATATAAACACAATATATAATGCAAATCAAACAAAAGTATTTTGAAATCCACCAAATAATACTAAAATTCAAATAAAATCCAAACATAAATATTTTCAAACACGACACAAAGACTATTCCAATTTGTTCTTTCTAAAATTAAATGAACCCTATCCTTCCGTTTTGATGCCTTTCCTATATTGGATTTCTTCATGTGTGAGATTCGTTGCATATGATCAACATCAATCTTTGAAGCAATCCAATAGGTTTCTACAACACGAATTGGATGAATGTGAGGTTCCAACCATACTGAACAACTACAAGTTATATAAGCCATATTCATGTTACATCATGTAGATCAAAATACCAATCAATCAAACCCTAATAAACAATTACAAGTAAAAGAAATCATGAAAAAAAAATAAATAAAGAAATCACTCCATCTTCTTCTCCCCTACAACTCTAACCTATGTAAATACTACATCTCAATTTCATGATTTTAGCATATAAACACACAATTTCATCGGATGTAAAGGAGATAAACAAACAATTTCAGCAAACAAACAATTTAACAGCTAAACAACAAATTTTATCAAAAAAAGGAAGAGCATATCACATACCTGAGGAGGCGTATGAGCTTCGATTTGTGAGGATGCAACAAGACTTTGCACAAACAGTTGGCGGATATAAGAGCTGTAATGAGTGAACTCCTAGGAAATTGACTGCGTAATTACAAATTGATTGAATGAAACTTTGGATTATATAATCTAGAATAAGAAATGTAAATAAAATTGAGGGGGAATGAAAAATCACACAGAGGTGGTAGAGGGGTTCATTACCATAGTCGACGATTTTGAAATTTTGAATCACATGAATTTCAGGAGAAAAAAAACTTACCACGGTCGGCGAATTTGTGGAAGATGGAGGGGTTCATTACCGGTGGAAATGGCAGCGCAAGTAAAGGCAGTGGTCGGCTGATGGAGTCGATTTAAGGGATGTCGACGACGGGAGGAGGTTGGAGGAGATGATCGACGCTCTACAAGGTCGGAGGTGGGAGGAGACGGAAGAGAAGATATGAACGTGGGTGTTTTGCTTTGGAGGTGGGCATATCAGTAGCGCATGAGGGTAAAAGAGGGAAGGACGCGTGATTTTTTTTCAGATACGGACCAAAGTCTGAAACTTTAAGAGGCTTTTAGAAAATTAAGTGGCTTTTAATCATATGCTATCAAACACTCTTAATCTGAAAAATTAAGAGTTTGCCTCTTAATTTGTCAATTAAAAGGCTACCAAATAGCCCCTTAATGTCAGAAATAGATAACGATATATATATATATATATATATATATATATATATATATATATATATATATATATATATATATATATATGTATATATATATATGTATATATATATGTATATATATATATATATATATATATATATATATATATATATATATATATATATATATATATATGGTGATGTTCAATAGCGAACCATAATTAACCAAGGAGCTAAGAAATCCATATTTTTTTTAACTTTTAGAACTTATTTTTTTATAAAAAAAACTAAAAATACGGAAATTCATAACTTTTTATCATTTTTCCAATAATATCAAATTCGATAAAAAAAAATTTCGTCAAATCCACAACGTGAATCTTTGAAAATTCACAATTTGAATCTAAAAGCACACGGTGAATCCGAAAAATATATTTAACATTCACAATGTTAAGTTATGATTTTTTTTTTTTTTTTTTTTTTTTTGTTTCCGATAAAGAATAAGTTCTAGAACTTAAAAAAATTGGTTTATTGGACAACTAATAATTATGGTTCTCTATTGAACTTTTCCATATATATATATATATATATATATATATATATATATATATATATATATATATATATATATATATATATATATATATATATATATATATATATATAATGAATAAAAAAGCTGTTTTTCAAGACATATCATTGAAAAATGTTAGTATTTTGTGCATACAATGTTTCAGTTGATTATAATCTTAATTTAGAACAACGGTGTTTTGTTTTAACATACACATTATTAACCTAGTTTAATTATTGTGTTTTGTAAGCTTGTTAACTTAAAAATGAATAATATTATTAAAACTATATGATTTTAAGTGTTGGGTTCTAACAAGATAGTTTTTATGAGATTTGAAGTAAAACTATGTTTATAATCATTCGGAAAGTATTGAAAGTCTTATGAGATTCCGATCAAAATTTAACTATTGAAATTAACGAAGATATAAAGTTGTAAATAAATAAAAATAACGTTATTGAAAGTTGTAGCTTATCTCGTTAGAAACATTTAGACGAAAACTTCGTCGAAATCTGAGTTATAACGAAGAAGTTATGACCAATCGAATATTTACGACAAAACCGGCAAAACACTATTTAGCGTAAAAAGTGAGTTTTCAATAAACTACTTTTTAGCTTTAGTTATATAAATGAAAGTCATAGTATTCGTTAAACTGAGAATTTTCATAAAAAGAATGTCAAAATCTGACTTCGTATTAGGAAGTTATGATTTTTCTAAGTTTAAGTATAGCAGTATACAATTAAAAACTTGAAATAAAGATCGAATGATTTTAAGCCAACACAACCTAAAGGACAATCGAAGGTCTCGTCAATAGTAGTACAATGGTAAAAGACAGACGAAAACGGACGTCGGATGAAGAAGTTATGAATTTTTAACGGATTTCCCTATCGTGGTCTGTTAAAAATAATAATATTAAAAATAAATTCAAAATTAGCCAACGAAGTTTAAACGAAAGTTGTAGAGTATAATTTCGCCTACACGTGCATATAAAGAACGTCGAAAACGGAGCTCGTATGAGAAAGTTATGAATTTTTGAAAATCGGGGGAAAAACACGAGAATTTTCGCAAGGACTAGGCCAAGCTTCGGCCATGTCACCCGCTCCTCGCAGGTGCCCTGTGTCCGACGCGCGTCGCATTCTTCTCGAGTCTGAAGTGCGACCTAACCAGCTGCTGACATGTGTTGCATCGGTGGCAAGCCCGAGATCCGACGCCTGACCCCTCGCATGCGGCTGTGTGCCCCTCCCCCTGGCCCTCGCTGCTGCCGCGTGTCCCTCCTTCCTCTCCTTCTGCCGAAGCCTTTCCCTATATATAGGGAGGTGCGAATTCTCCTGGTTTTGTTTGTAAGTTTCACACTTTTTACCCCCAAATCCATTTTTAAGCTATTCCAACATCTCATGAAGCCCCGGGAACCAACCTAACACCCGAAGAATGCCCTGTAGTGCCCGAAGATCCCGAGAAATTTATCTTTTCGGTTTTAAACTCAACCCTCGCAAGGCCCGGTTTTCAATAAAGCTCCCGATTTTCATTGAAGAAAGTTATTTATAGAAACGAAGTGCTGCCCAAATTACCATTTTAACTTTCGGTTATTTCACGGTAAGTTCAATATATAGAAACAATTGTACGTTATGTGTTGTGTTATATGTGTAATATGCTTTCCCGTGTTATCCTGAGTATGGATTTATACATTTGGCCATGTAGAACATGTCTCGTATAACTTCTGGTATTGGCAATGTGCCTTTAACCATGTAGAGCATGTCTCGTATCACTTATGATATTAGTATTATGTCTTTGGTTATGTAGAGCATGACTCGTATAACTTTTGTATCGACTTTGTGTCTTTGGCCATGTAGAGCATGACTCGTATCACTTATGTTATTGACATAGGACTATTTAGGGCTGAAAGTCTGTATATTCTAGCAAAATGATAATCAGAAATTGTATATTTTCTGTGTCACTTGGGCTGAAGCTTTATTGATGTATATTAAGTTGAAAGTGTTATGTCTCATTGATTGTAAATCTTTTAATCAATTTATTGATTAAAATAGAAAGTTTGTCGCATGATTCACATATGTCTTTATTGTTCATTGTTCATATTTGCTTTTGTCATATTGGTATATATATGACATAACGTTATATAGTATTTGTTACTGAACTCATTAATCGTTGCCGCTTATCCCTCTCAGTGTTTAACTATTGCAGGTAATAAACGTCCAGTATAGACACATACTGTTGGAAGATTTAGAATAGTTAATAATATTATTTTTGTATTTAGTGATCATGTATGTATAAAATTATAATTTCCTGGGTAGTTATGTAATATACTAAATCTTAGTCGGTTTGTATCCAGTCTTATGTAATTAAACTATCAATGTAAAATATTATTTTATAAATATGCATCTAGCATGTTTTGGAGTAACTTGGATTAATAATGTTAAGTATGAAAGAGGTCTTTCATATGAGAAAAAAATTGTTATACATTCACTTGAAAATATGTAATATCCCCACGATGTAAATGGTTTTTACTTTTTATTTGTAAAAAATGTAATTTTGTTATATAACAAAGCATTTGCTTTTGCTGATTAGAAAGTTTAATTCAGAATTACTTATCAAATAATAGTTTAATTTGGTTAGTGTAATAATATAATTTCATTTACTTATCGTGAAAACACAAAATATGTAAATTCAACTTACCAAATAAATAAATAAATACATAAACGCAGTACTAGATCTACATAAGACTAGACGGAGTGGATGCGAAAAAGTAGTGAGAGAAGTTTCCCTCACTTCTGTACACCACTCCGTGGGTGAGGAAAAGAACCGCGGGAAAAAAGGCCGGGGGAGGGGGTGCCGCACTCTCTCTCCTCACGTTATTGACCAGTTCTTTTTTTTTTTTTTTTTTTTTTTTTTTAATTTTATTTTAATATTTATAAATTATATAACTACTATAAAAATATAAAAAATATATCAAAATTTATGGTTTTTAATTCCCTACAAAATGAGTATAATATATGTATGAAATATATTAAAAAAAAGTGAGAGAAGAGCTTCTCACCCATTCTTGGCTTTTAGATGAGGGAAAGGAAAGTGAGGGAAAAATGGTATGGCCCACCAAAAGTGAAAGAAGTTTTCCTTCCACACCCTCCAGTTTAATAAAAAGTAATAATATAATATATTAAAGAAGAATTATTGATTGAATCATTGAATGTTTGCAACGTTTTTTGGACCAAATTCATGCAAGAAACTACAGATATCCTTAGATGTTGTTTGGCACTGATTTTGTTTTCTGTTTACTTATTTTTTTTACAAAAATAATAATAATAATAAAAAAATAAAAATTAAAAAAATAAAAAAGAAGAAGTTAACTTGATAAAAGAATTGTAATCAATATTGATTTATGAATTCTGTATTTATGTCGGCTAACGTTTGTTTACAAATGAAACCCTTCTTGCTTTTCTTATATTATTCGTCTTTAATATTACAAGTCCCTTGGTCTGTTAACCCAATGGCATACAGCCCTACCATGCCATACTCTCACAGACAGGACCGGTCCAGACGATGGGCAACCCGGGCGACCGCCCAGGGCCCACGACTCCAAGGGGCTCAAAATTTATGGGCTATGTAGCGTAGATATATAATCCAATTATTACCAAAATGATTTTTATGGCCTAAAGTTGGTTCAAACTCAAACTAACATAAAAGATAAATAATTTGACTTGTTTGTTATTGCTAATTGAACATGTTCATAGTGAAGAATAAATGATATTTTTTTTTAATCTTTATTATATTTGTCTTTTAAGGGCTATTTTTTTTCCTTTTGCCCCGGGCCCCATATACGTTTGGACCGGCCCTGCTCACAGATACATAGAGAAAGAAATTACGGTTAACCGATTTTTGTATGTTAAAAATAGCTACATTATAACATTTCTAAATGTTAATTGATTCCTCTATAGCTTTTTTCAAAAAACTGAATGAAATGGCTTTTGTCAAATTTTTCCTAAAGAAACCAATAAGTATATTAATAAGTGAGACTTATGTGTGTATATATATATATATATATATAATATATATATATATATATATATATATATATATATATATATATATATTATATATATATATATAAGGTTAAAATATTTTTCCTAAAGAAACCAATAAGTATATTAATAAGTGAGACTTATGTATATATATATATATATATTATATATATATATATATATATATATATATATATATATATAAAAGGTTAAAATATTTGAAAATTTTAAATTTATAAGAAAATTAAAAACAAAATAATGAATTATTATAATGAAAATATTTTTTTAAAATTTAAACAAATAATCTGAATAATGAAAAAACTCTAATAAACTTTAATTTCGGAAAATTTTAAATTAAAAAGTAAGTTTATTAATGAAATTAATATCTATATAGTACTATATTTATTGCAATTATTATATTAAAATA